GTAGCGTTCTCGATTGTTTGGTCCCGGTCCCGCCCTGCTGCCGCAGCCACAGCTCTAAGGAGACGCGTATAGAGAGAGGGAGAGGGTGAGGGAGAGGGAGAGGATAGAGAGAGAGAGAGACGCAATTTGTCAGTCGGAACGGGACGCGCGCGACCAGGAGTGTGGGGAGAGGCGGCGTCGTCTGCTCTCGCGCCCGGCGCCGCGCCACAACCGAGTGGCCGAGCTAAGTCCCTTCTGCTCGCGGGAAGTGTATCATGGGGCTGCTTACATATTCCACGACCGCACCAGCGTCTTGCACAAATCCTCTCTTCCTACACTGTCGAGTGTAATTGTGGGCGCCGACTGACCGAAACACACATTCATCGCAATTTGCAACCCGAAACATAGTGTTGCACACGCGCAACTTTTTGCTCGGGAATTTCTTGTTTCTGCAGTACCTGCCTGATTCGGATTAAACTACAGAGTAAAGACATGTGATTGTTACTACTATCTGAAGAAAAACAACATTTTTTTTTGGCAGATCATTGATACTCAGATTAGCAATTTTTAGCTAAACCTTGGTGACGTTTTTGAAATGTGTCGCCAGCAAATGGAAACGACATTGTGGCTCTTTGTACAACACTGCCCGTAGGGTAGACTACCGCTCCGCATGCTTTTACGACACATCGAAATAAACTCCCCCACACGCCAAAAGTTAGCCGCACTTGGCCTCTCTCGTATAGGTCGCGCACTTTTTCGTCCCCCCCTCCTCCTCCCGCCCCCTCCTAAGCAGATTCGCATCCCCCTGCCCCGCGGGCCTTGAGGCTGGAGTCACTGACCCGCACACCCTGCAGCCAGGGCCGCCAGGTCAACGTCGACGGGCTCTACGAAATATGTCAAGCGTGGCTTGCGGCGGTGCAACTCAACTCGGGGGTGGAGTGTGCAGTGGGGAAATGCGCGGGAAAACTGTTGTTTCTGAATTCTACATAATTTTCTGTGGTGTTCACGCAATACCTTGGACATTTTTTTTGTCTTGTCGGCTTGTTGACCAGGGTTTCTCCCATGATCTCACTGCCTTGCTGGCGAGGGGCATGACCTCTCAGGCGGCTCCCTCCTCCAACAATCCTCCAAGGATGGATGTCAGATCATCTGGATGCCGCCGACGTAAAAAAACTTACCGGTCGGGGGAGGAAAACACTGCCGTAAACCGGGCGCAGTCGACGGAACTCTCCGTAGATAGTGTGTAAGGAGTTGACCCTGCGTCAGTGTTGCCTTAAGTGATGATTCGAGAGGGAGTCAAATCGACAAAAATCAACACCAGGCAAAGCGCTCCTAAAATTAGCAACGTTTCAGTCTGGTCGGTCTAAAGGTGCTCACCCGAGTCGAACAAAACTCATTACTCCGTCAAGAAGCCGTTCCATACGGCACGGCGGCCGGCGCGCGCGTGACGGCGGGGCTTTTCATCTTGGTGAACAAGTTGTTGGACATGAATGTGCTCTGCACACTCACTCAGCCGGGGCGGCGCCCCCACCCTGGTTGCCGCGGCAGCGGCGTCGGCGCCCGGCAGAGCGAGCGTGGCGCGGAGCGCGAGGCCCAATTGAAAGTCGGCGAACTTCCAGTGTCGGCGAACCGCAACGGTGCCATTTGATTTACAACAGGCCTTATGTGAACGAGGCCTGCGGGAGCGGGGCGACTGACCAGGGACGGGACCAGCAGACCAGGGCCGCAGCCGGTGCGGCGGGGGCAGGGCCGGGCCAGGACGCCAGGAGGGGGCATTGTGTGGCGACAACTTCTCTAGCCTTGGGAAAGTTGCATGCCGGCTAGACTGCTTATGCGAATATTGGAATAAATCAGCCGGCACAAAAGGGGCGCGTGGAAAGAAAAGGGGGGCGTATGTCTGTCTGCAGCGTGGAGCCGCTGCTAGGCCTAGCAAAGGGCGCCCAGCCCACTCCTTCAGCACCCCTCTAATGAAAATGCGCTCGCTGACGGACACGTTAAGGGGCCGTGGTGGGTCGAGAATGGGTGTGACGGTGGTGCGTGACGAGGTGCGGCGTGGCGGCGCGTGACAAGGCGCGGCGCTGCGCGGGGTGGCGGCGGGGCGCAGCAGCGATTAGCAGCGCAGGGCCCAATTTCATTAGCGTTTTCCCTCTCGTCTCCGCAGCTGGGCTGGCCCTCGCCATGAGCTGACGGCATGAGGACGGCGTCCCGCGTCAATCCTGTGGGCTAATTTGGTAATTGGCATTCGGCGGGTTACGTCGCTTACAAAGTCGAGGAGCGATGTGACCCGGACCTGCAGCGCTCGAATACATTTTCCCATGCGGATCGCCGCGCCAGTGACGTTTCTCGCGCCCTTCAGAGGGACGGATTGCCGGGACTTTGCTTCCCTTTCAGCCTCGACGAGAGCAGGAGTAGAGGGGGTATGGCTGGCTACTCATACTAATGACCGGCGCTGTCGTTTGTCCCGCTCGACGGACGGGTCTGATCACTGAAGACAATCCGGTGCGAGACGCTGTGCGGGAAGGAAAGGAAGAAATGTCGGCGATGGGATTTGGCGGGCTCTAGTGCCGGCCGGGGGCCCTTTCATTTCGCCTACAGCAGCCCCCAGCTCCCCTCCCTCTACCCCCCTCCCTCCCTCTTTCCTCCTCAGCCCCCTCTCTCTCGCCTCGAGTAAGTCCCTGATTTGATGACTCGTTTGGCTCGTTGACTCGTGTCGCCTTGATTAAGACTTTAGCTTGTTGCTAGGGCTGGGCCCGTCCGTGGGAGGAGAGAGCACTTTGCGGGAATCAAATATTTAGTTTCATACTCTACTTCAAGGTAAATTTAAATTTAGTTTCATAGATTACTGGGAATCTTGTTCTCTGTTCTGGCGGTGGGGGCCTTTTGTCTCGAGGCCAAAGAAAAAAGCGCCTTCCATTGCCTTTCCGAAAGATATCCCAATCATCGGCACCTGCCAATCCACGTGATAATTAATGGGGCAAAGGGAAATTAATGTGATTGGCTAAGGACGACTGACACCGTCACACTACCATTTGTCCCGAGCAGACCGCTGCCGCCGCCGGCCCCCTCTTCTGGTGTGTCGGCTGAATGCTTGGGCTCGGGAGCCACTTGCAGTGGACTTACCTCCATCGTTACACCCACGGCTTGTCATCCCGCCGCTGAGCTGATATGAAAACGAAACCCACCGGTCGGGCCTGCAGCGCTGCCATCCTGACGGGACCATCTTCGTGTCACCGCAATGTTCCCGAGCAACCTTTGCGCCCGTCTGGGCCCGCGTGCCGAGAAGTGACGGCGCCGTGACAACAGACGTCACTTTGTATCACAAGGTGTCCGCTCATGTCGTTGGGTTGTCGACCTTCCGGTTTGGGGCGATTCCGCAAAACAGCAAATGCTTCCGCGCGCCGGTGGGCCTGGCCGACTAGCCGGGGGAGATACCAAACCGGACCCGCCCCGTTCCAGCTCCCTCCCCCTCATTGCTTATCGCCCTGGCTGAAGACGCATCTGGGGAGAAATTATACCTGCTTGCGTTTTATCATCGTTAAATTAAAAAAGAAATCTTTTTTATGTCTGTTTGGGAGATATGTTCACGCCCTATTGAAATATTGCTGTAAATCTTTTGATACGTATGAAAGGTGACGCCGCGTGTCCTTGAGGAGCAGCCTCTGTTTATTCTATGTGAAATATCATATTGGGTGACTACCCTCTGATCTTGCCCCAAGGCCTTTTTCAGCCCTAGATAGGTGTGCTTCGCTTTTCGTCGAAGGCCGTCCTGCGGAATATGCCCACCTAAACCTCATTTTTGTTACATCGTTACGGAGCAGTGCCGACTGACAGTTACGGAAACTTTATTGTGTTTTCAAAATGTGTATATAAAAAATGGTTGGATGGACGGTTTCTTGTTTGTGTTCCTCTTTTTGCGGGTGGAACGCACATCGAAAATAAATTGGGCAGATGTAGCGAACCGCGCCCGATATTAGACGCGGTGATGAGCCACTGTAGGGTCGTCACGCATTCCACCGCTCGGCACACTGCAAACTGGAGCATTGTGTTTTGTAATCCAGTCTGCTCCCGTCAGTACGAGCTAAGCGACGTCGAGACCGTGTGCTTCCTAGTGTTAAGTGAAGAAATTTAAACCCAGAAAGAGACGAAAAAAAAATGTGGACAGTGTTGGGGCGCTGAGCGTGGGGGAGATATTGGGGACACAATAACAGTCCTGATGGGGAGGGGAAAAGGGGCTAATGGGGCTGGAGGGGGGTGAGCGGGGCAAGGGGCGCCGGGGCAGAGGAGGGCGCAAAGGACAAGAGGGGAGCCCTGGTGCCGATAAGTTGAAAGGCAGAGGGAAGTGAGAGTGCAAGTAGAGAAGGGCCCGGGGAGGGCTCGAAACGCCCAGACGGGACGGTGACGCGGGGTCAAAATCTTGCCGGGCCCCAGGGGAACTTATTTACCGTAAAATCGTTCATCGCCCGCCAGACTTCGACGGAATTCCTACCATAGGGCGGCCTCCTGTACATTTCAGGGGGCGCGATCCGAGGGGCGAGTCACATTCTCTTCCTTTCGCTCGCTCGAGGTCCTTTGTATCCAGGTTCCCTCACGTGAATCCTGGTGTACAAGACGCGTTTACTTGGGAAGATTCCGCTACATTTAAAAAAGTGTGCTGCCGAGCTTATTCGCGCCTCTCGTTCAACGGCAGCGAACTCATCGGAAGTCATCTACTTGGCCGTCCGGGAAATTGCCTCTTCCCGCCACAGAGATTTCCCTAAAGGCATATCAAAGCGATCACAAACACGCCCGTTTATTGACGATCATTTGGTCATCTATATGTAAATTCAACGAAAATATGGCAATCACTGATGAGGCTGGGAGTAGGAGTGAGACCGAATCTCTTCGAACTGGCATTTCGCAGATGCAGGACCATTCCATTTTTTCATTTGTTTTGTTTTACGTCCTGAAGCAAGCGGGTTCTGATTCCCCCCGTTGTTCTGTCTTGTTGCGCTAATCACTCTTGGGAACCCTCTCTGTTGCAGCATGGGGGTCCCATGACGCAGGCCGAGCTGGCTGGGGACGAGGACGACGAGGACGCGGAGCAGCGATGCGCGCGCTGCGCGGCCCTGGGCGGGGGGAGCCCGGATAGGCACGCCGTGATGCTCCACCACCCGGCCTCATGATTGCGCTCGCGACGGTCGCCTTGGAGTACGCCAACCTGACGACCTCCAACAACTCGCACAGCAATGAGGACCTCATGGCGGAGGGAGGCAGCCATGAGTTCCCGGGCTACATCCGCACCACGTCCATGGTCTTCTGCATCTTCATACTTGGCATCGGCGTCATCGGCAACGTCATGGTGCCGCTGGTCATCCTCAAGTCCAGGGACATGCGCAACTCGACCAACATCTTCCTCACTAACCTCAGCATCGCGGACCTCATGGTGCTGCTCGTCTGCACGCCCACGGTGCTCGTCGAGGTCAACTCCAAGCCTGAGACGTGGGTGCTCGGCTCCGAGATGTGTGAGTACAGGATCCAATAGCAGATTGTGCGCGCATCAGCCGCAGCCCCGGCTGCTTCCGACTAATTCGAGCTGGGCTCTCGAGGCGCGCCCCCGCCTCCTGCCCGTGATGGGTGCGAGAGCCTCACCCCTGCGCCATTCGGAGCAAGTCAGGGCGAGCTTTAAAGCTCCCCGGCCTGAGCCGATCAGCCGGAGCTCCGCAGCAGCGGGGAGGATGTGTGTCTCCAGGGCCCTCCACGCTCATCTCCTGCATATCGATTGGACCGTCGCGCACCCGGTGGAGCGGGCGGCACCGGGGGGCACGGGGCGGCCGTGCGATGGAATGTAGAGTGGCTCTGGAATGCAGGCGGGATTTGGCAGGAGGAAGGCAGGCGGGGGCTCTCCGGAGCCGGGTCCGGCCTTATTGAAACGAGTGTTGAACAGCCGGCCGCCGTCTTGCATGGGGAGGGGAGGGAGGCTCCAAGGTAGGCGGGTGGGGCCCTGGACGCCACCCTCGCCCTATAGCCTGCGGCCCCTTTGCTGACAGGTTCGAATAGCCTTCCCTAACACGCCTACCCCCCACCCCCCTACCTCAAGTTTATTCGGCGCGCCGCGTCCGCGCATACACAGCCCCCACATCCCCATAGTCAAAAGCCGAGCTCAATCGGGCGATGTCGAAGTACTCTCAAGTCCAAAATTAATTTCCTGTCGTGTACCGGATGTGATGTGGAGGATACGCGAGGACACGCCTCAGTACATCGGAGTATTATCCAATACACCAGCACCGAGCAATTGGTTCCAATAACTAATGGTAATTTCCTGACTCCAACGGAAATTTCCTTTGATGTAACATGATTTGTGGATTTTTTTCGTTACTTTAAAAGAACTTCCTTTGTTAAGAATGATTCTCTACCCTACGGCCATTTTCTCCTTGAAGCATTGGAAAATCATTTGGATAAACAGAAAAATTCCAGTACAACATCAGATATAAAATCAACCGAATCGGTTTCTGGTTGCAGCGCGCAAGCTGTTGTGTACTTGTACCAAAGAGTACCGGGTGATTCAGAGCACGCGTCGCTGTCGGCGGGTTTGCCCACTCTGTCCGCCCGTAAGGCGCCATAGCCCCAAGGGTATGCAATCCCGCAACACCGCGGCGCGTGCTGTGAATCACCCGGTACACTCTAGTACCCCCAGGTTCACCGTGCACGGCAGAATTCCTCCCCCGGTGCGCGAGAATGGAATGGTCCCTCTCTCTGCCCATAGCGCATGTGGCTTCTGCGGCTGTGCGGCATTCCCGCTGTTTGGCGGGCCGAACCTCGCCCTCCACCACCCCGAGTGCGCGGCGGGGAACAGGTGATCCCGCTCAAGCAAGCGCGCGCCACTCCATAACTGCTATGCATGTTTACTCACTGGGGGGAAAGGAAAACAACACTGTAGACCAACCTGTGAACATAGTGCACTCTTCCTTGTGTGTACTTGAAAGCACACACAAGGAAGTGTGTGCATGCGTGGCAGCTCTACGCTATGTGGGACGTACATACTAAAAAAAGTGTGCCACGCATGTACACACTTCCTAGTGTGTGCCATGCTAGGCACACACTTCCTTGTGTGTGCTTTCAAGTACACAAGGAAGAGTGTACTATGTATGCAGTTGGGTTTACAGTGAACAGAATGCGCGTGCGAGATTCTCGTGGCCCGTGTTCGCCACCGCACAGTCGACCGGAACGAGGTGGCGGCGGTGGCGCGGACTTGAAGTTCTCACACACGCCTCCCGGCCCGCCGCCGCCGTCGCTCGGCTTCCTGATCGATCGACTCGGTCGTTCCGTTTATGAGCGACGGGCGCATAAAGCGATGAGCACGACAGCCATCTCCACCCCGGCGGGCGCTACGATCTCATTGGGTCCATAAAGTTGTCCCCGTTTGGCCCAGCGCCTGCCGCCGCCGCCGCCCTGCCGCAGGCCGCAGGTCTCGTCCCGCCCGGCGCCTCGTGCGCGCTGGGCGAATCTCTCAAGTCCTCTCGGTGCTGCGTCCCGACGTGCGGTCCCCGGTGGTGGGGTCCCGGCCTCCCTCAAGCAATCGGCAATAGGCTGGCCGGCGGGTGCGTCCGGTCGCCGCGAAGGACGAAACTGGGGAAATGAGTCTCCGTGGGGACCTGTGGCATGGCCAGAGGGGGAGGATGGGTGGATCACCATCGGCCTGTTGGCGGAGTCTGTGGCTGTGGCGGCCGATACGCCGAATGTACTCTGGTTTCTATTTTGATAATCTCATTTCCCGCGATGAGTGCGTTGGAAATAACCAACCCCACTTCTTCCCTGCTGTTCCCCCTCGCACCCCCTCTCCCGCCCCCTCCCGTGGCCCGTGGCGCCGCGAGCAACGGCTTTTAAGATATCCGAGGTAAAAGTAAGTGAATTGAGACTACTTATAGGTGGCGTACTTCCAACCCACTGCGATGTGTGTGGTCAGTTAGCCGACTACCGCCGACAAATAAGTACGTTTAATGGGTGCTGACTTTACATTCTATTGGCCGCTACTGCCACGAGGATGGCACCCATAAGATTTGCCTCCCCGCGTTATCTGTTTCAGCGTCGGCTGTGAGTGCTGCCTTCTGCTTCACGCCAAAGAGAAGTGTGTCTGCCTCTCCTTTCTCTCACGTTCACATCCTCAAGACTCTTCAAGGAGGTAGACCTGTGAATTTAATATAGTCTGATTTGAAAAAAAGGATTTTTTAAAAGTCGACTCATAAATACTTTTAAAAAATATGCCAGTTTTGAGATTAAAAAAATGGGTTTAAATTCGAGTACCTTTTCTTTTGCCTTGTACCTTAACGTTGCTATATCTGAAGTCAACCCTATTTAAACCCTGGTCATTTGACATAGGATTATTCAGGCTATCCGTAAAGCAGCTGGATAAAAAAACTTGGCTTGCGGAGGTTGCGCACGTTTTGCCCCTTCGTTTGCCAAAACTTTGATCTGGGATGAACACATCAGAGAAGAGAATCGTTTTTACAAAACTATTCTTTGCAGACATATTATTTTTGCACTGTGGTTTTGCGGTTGCATTCATCACATTACACTTTGGACTCCTCAAGCCGCAATTTTTCAAATGTTTGAAACCAGATTTGTGGCTTTAAATACAATTATGGACGAAGATTTTTTTTTTTGACAATCTTTAAAAAGAAGTTCAATTCATACCAGTTTTTACATTTCTGCCCCTTAATCCCGAACACCCCCGTTTGTTCTGTGGGACGTGCGTTCCTCTGGCACCGTCTTTTATGCGGTCTTTTTAGGGATTAATAACACGTGTATAAGGGCTGTGTTACAGTGGAAGAGTAACTTATTTACGAGCTATTAGAGACACATAGAGTGTCTGTGTGTACGAGTTTCTGACCTCTCTGTGGACTGGCGCGCCGACCGTCGCCTCGGCCCAATATATCAGCGTGGCTCGGCGGCGCGGAGCTGCGCGGAGCTGCACCGCCCGGCTGATTTATTTTCACGCTCGCCCACGCGTCAGCCGGTCGCAATGTTGTGCAAATGTGCAATGTGCTTACGGTAGCAAGCGGCTGGAGAGTTGTCTTATTTTTTATTTCTTCGAGTTTCATAAAGAGGGTTTATTTCGGGGAGGGAGGAGGAACGAGCTAAAATGTCATCTCTCTGGATGATGCCATAAAAGTAAACATAAACGTATAGATTGTTTTCTCTGTTAACCTAAGCACTAAGTATATGAATTTTTATAAATGAACGCGGTGTAGAAAAGCAAACAAGTAAATATATTAATTTGAGTAAAGATAACGCCTGGTGGTTATGCAGAACCCCCGATGTGGAGTGCACTGCAGCTGAACGGGTGGCCTACCCTACGGTCGTCAGGGGTCCAGCAGTTCAGCTCATAGTTTTCCTTCTTATTGTGAGTGAATCTCCAAGTGCATTATTTCAGTACAGGATTGACCTTTGCACAATAATCCGTAATAAAATATACTCATGGTAAATGAAATAATTGTTTTGCTTGCACGACACGCATCGGTTTTTGATGCAGGGTAGAGAAGCGCGGGTGGGCCCTGCTCCTCGAGCCCTGCAGGCAAGACGCGAGCGAGGGCGCGCGCGCGTGTGTGTGTCTGTGTTCTGAGCGCGTGCACTCTATGGGTCGTAAAACCTATGATTCTAGGGTCCGGCAGGATATCAAGTCACGGGTGACTGGGCGGGGTGGGGCCACAATGCTGTACACTGTTTGAGTTGGTAAATGTCGAATCATCATCTTCCGTCTCTCTCTCTCTCTCTCTCTCTCTCTCTCTCTCTCTCTCTCTCTCTCGCTCTCTCTCTCTCCCCAACTCTCTCTCTCTCC